GAGCCACCATGTGGTTGCTGGGAATTGAACTCAGGACCTTTGGAAGAGCAGGCAATGCTCTTAACCGCTGAGCCATCTCTCCAGCCCCCCCCCCCCCAGCGTTGTTATCTTTTGTTTCCCCTTACTCCCACTAATTCGCTTTGTTTGTCTCAGGACCTCTTGTAGCCCAGGCTACAAGGAGAGTCTTTAAATTCTGGTCCTTCTGCCTTCCCCTCCTGAGAGCTGAGATTATGAACTGGTCCGGTTTATGTGGCCCTGGAACCCAGGGCTTCATGTAAGCTAGGGCAAGCACTCTGCTCACCAAGCCACATCCCCAGATCCATATAATTTTTAATTTGAAAAACATGTAAGTATTTATTTTTATGTGGCTATGTTGTATATATCTGCACCAGCCTATAAAAATCAGAAGGCGGCATCAGATTCCCTGGAACTGAGTTGTTGGTGGTTGTGAGCCTTCTTGTAGATTCTGGGAACTGAACCCGGGTCCTCTGGAATAGCCCAGTCTGCACAGCTTTATGTGCCACAAATCCACTCTGTTGGAGCCTGTGACTCAGTGGTTTGTCATCAGTATATTCAGAGTTGTGCAGCCAATACCACTGTCTGTTTGGGGACATTTCCATCATGTTGAAAAGAAAACAGGCTCCTGTTTGCAATAACTCTGCAATGATAGTCCCTGGTCCCCAACCCCAGGCAACAGTGTACAAACAGAGGTTGTACTCAAACAAAAGTCATTATTGAAATAGCCTCAGTGTTAAGGTGGGGGGGGTAGATATGGGAGGAGGCTTGGTGGGGAAGCTCAGGCTGAGCTCTTGGGCCACTGTCTGGAATTCACCTGCCCCGCATACACTGTTGGTTTGGGGTACAGTGACCTTGGCAGTTTTTTCAGCATAGCAGCCCTGCTTTCTGGTGAGGTGGTGGGGACGCATCATGTGCCTTGAAGGCTTTAGATGGGAAGCAAGCACAGGGTGAGAGAGGAAGCTAATGAGGTGGCTGGCATCAGGAAGGGAAGGTCCCTGAATGTCTGGGAACGGCTAACCACAGGTGTCTGAGTGTTAACTAGGGAGGCAACAGGCACAAGTGTGTTGGATGGAGGTCTGTGCGCGGAAGTTACCACTGCCTTTGAACAGGGATTATCCAGCTCTGGATGGAGAGGCTGAGTGAGTCGCTGCTGCCTGGGGAGCCAGCACTGGGGGAGGGGGTGGGGGAAGCTCAGTAAATATGGATGGAGTTAAGACGATTACGGCTTTGAGGGTCGGAGGTGCAAACAGCCAGGGCCTTCTGTCACTTGGCGATAAAATCTATCAGAAGGTGGAGTAGCCAGATGTGCACGCACACACACGTGCATACACACATGCACTGTGCAGTGTCAGCTCACACACACACACTCTCAGCAGCTTCAGTTCACACACACACGTGCATACACACATGCACTGTGCAGTGTCAGCTCACACACACACATACACACACACTCTCAGCAGCTTCAGCTCTCTCACACACACTCTATGAAGTGTCAACTCACAAACACACTCTGCAATGTCTGCTCACACACAAACACACACACTCTATGCAGTGTCTGCTCACACGCACACACATGCACTATGCAGAGTCAGCTCTCACACACACACTCACACACACACATGCATGCACACACACATGCACCATGCAATGTCAGCTCACACACACACACACACACAATGTCGTGTCAGCTCAGTGATCATGGAGAATTTTGTAGCTATCCTTCCTGCATCTGTCTGCCTGTCTGCTCTCCTCTCTTCCCCCTCCTTCTACCCACTGCCATCCACCTGCCATCCACCCCCACTCTCGTCTGCCCACTTTCCACCCATTGGTTCTTCACCTGTCTACTCTCCGCCACCCATCTGTCTCTTGTCCATTCTCTGTCCGTTCAGTCATCCACCACTCCGTCCTTCCATGCGGAATTCCAGTAAACTGTCTTCCCAGCCACCCATCCTCCCATCTCCCTACTCTCTCATCTCCTGGGCAACCCTGACATCTACCCACATTATCTTTTCTATATATTTATTTATTTCATGTGCATTGGTGTTTGGCCTGCATGTATGTCTGTGTGAGGGCGTCAGATCCCCTAGAACTGGAGTTACAGCAGTTGTGAGCTGCCATGTGGGTGCTGGGAATTGAACCTGGGCCCTCTGAAGAGCAGCCAGCGCTGTTAACGGCTGAGTCACTTCCAGCCCCACCCACATTATCTTAATTCATCCTTCCAGCCACATCTTTGCTTTCCAACAGATCTTCCATTTTCCTGTCTAAGGCAGTGGTTCTCGATCTCTGGGTCACAACCCCATTGGGTCACATATCAGATTTTACTTTATGATTCACAACAGTAACAAAATTACAGTTATGAAAAGCAATGAAGTAATTTTATGGTTAGGTGTCACATCCACCCTCGACTCGCAAGGATGATGTGACCACCGGAGCTCTTCCTGCTACAGTTTTATTCAGGACCTTTTACAATTCTCTCTCTCTCTCTCTCTCTCTCTCTCTCTCTCTCTCTCTCCCTCTCTCTCTCCCCTTGGGCAAACCTCTCCCAGCCCTTAAAAAGGCACGGGCTGCCAACCCTGGATTGCCAGGTGGGCACTGCCCATAGGTCCACGCATATGCAAGCAGCTGCCAATCATTGCGTTATCACAGAGAACACTCGCTTTCGGGATAGCGGAGGGCGGGAGCCAGTACCATCAGGTGGCTCCACGCAGCTCTCTACATTGCCATTAGGTGTGGCTCTCTACAGTTAGGGTCGCCACAACATGAGGAACTGTATTAAAGGATCGCAGCATCAGGAAAGCTGAGAACCTCTCTTCCAAGGGAAGAGATTTCTACTCATCCATCCTTCCATCCAACCCTCTACCCTTTTCTTCCTTTCTCCCCATACTTCTATCCTTCCATGAATCTTGTGACCCAACCATCCTTTAATCCATCTACCCCAATCATCTGGTATTTGAACATCTGCTATCGTCCACACCCTGAGCCTTAGCGAATCATCAGTGCACAATGGAGGCAAGGTCACTGTGCTCCTGCGGCAGAGAGGAAAACCCAGGAGTCCTGAGTGCTGCGCAGAGAAGTGAGGTGTCTGGGGAGGCTCTGACAGGCAGCATTTGTGCTGATGCCTCCATGATAAGAAGACAGTATTAAACTTTCTTCCTAGCAGAGGAAGTCATTCTTGGCAGAGCATCCACTCAGGGGTACATTTCCTCGGGAGAACGTTCGTGTCTTAGAGCAAAGAGAAGGACCTGGTCCAGGAAGGCACTGGGGCCTTTGCAGGTCCTGGGCCGGGGCTGAGGGGAGAAGGCAGTCAGTCAGAGGAGGACAGAGGAGCTAAGTCTGGAACCTTGTCTGTCAAGGAGACTCAAGATGGAGGACCCCTGGGGGGGGGACTCATGACCCTTGGAGCATCTCCAAACAAGGCCTGACTTCCTCACCAAAGTCATGTGATTCTTTCTTACTGTTTTAACCATTCACCTCAAGGTAGAGGCTTAGAGAGCCTGGAGCTATCACACTGTTTGTATCTCTAGAGTTCAGTGTGCGATGGGTCTCACAGATGGCGTTGGCTGGTTCCCACTGGAGGTCCACTGTGTCCTCCCAGCTCCTAGAGGCTGCCTCTACTTCCTTTACAGCCCCTCTCTTTCCACTACTCAAGCCAGCAGCTGTGTCTTCCTCTCTGTGTCTCCAGCCTTGTGTAGGCTTCTCGGGCTTTCACATAACTGTGCTATTTCCCCTTCCTCTCCCCCCCCCCCCCCCCCCCCCCCCCCCCCCCCCCCCCCCCCCCCCCCCCCCCCCCGCCGTGACTCTTGGGACTACAGTGGGCCCTCTTGGATCAGACAGGGCCATCTGCTCCATCTAGGCCTCGGCTTAATCACACCCGCAAGCCCCCCTACCGCCTTTGTGGCTTGCATCTGAACTGTCCCCTCACCGGCATGCTTTAGAGATTGGTCCCTCCTAGCAGTACTACTTTGGAAGGCCAAAGAGCCTCTAGAAGGTGGAACCCAGCCGGAAGAAGTTGAAGGTTAGACTCGGCCAGCCTGGTTCCCAATGTATTCTATTTCTTGATCTTCATTTTTCTTTGCTAAATGGATCCTTCCCCCAGAAACAGAGGATACTGATTGGGTCCAGCAGGTGGCGGCATGAGCCAGCCCTATGAGACTCAGGCTGGTGCCTGAGGCCTCTCACTACCCTCAGTGTGGGTGGGCAGTTCCTCTTCTCTCTTCTTTCTGCCTTCACCCTCTCCTCCAGCCCAGCTCAGCCTTCCACAACTTCAGCTTCACACACTACCAGAAAGCAGAGGTCCAGGACACCAGACTATCACATGGCAGACGAGGGCAGGCAGGGCTCACAGTTATCCTGCCAGCAACACGGGTCTGGTCTGGTCAGTATAGCAGTTTGTTAATTTGCTTGTTTGGTTTTGCTTGGTACAATGAATGTTTTGTTGCCCTTGGTGGTCTTCTGTAGTCCCTGTAAGCTGTGTAACTTGGTGCCAAAGGGTGGGTAACTTCCTCCGTCTCAGGCCTCGCCAACAAGGGACACTGCTGGGTTTTGTCAGCCCCCAGTGATGCTTCTTGATGGGACCTAACACTCCACCTCCACGGCCTCTGCAGCAATCCCTGCCTCCAGGTTCCTGCCCTGTTTGAGTTCCCACGCTGAATCCCTTTGATGAAGAAGAGCGATCTACAAGTATAAGCCAGAGAAGCCCTTTCCTCCCCGTCTTGCTTTGGTCATGGTGTCTCATCGCAGCAATAGTGACCCTAACAAAGACGGTGTCACTGGCTTATAGCACAGGGTCTAGGAGGCTGTTTTTCACTATGAAGAGAACCAAGGAAAGTTAGGAAACCAGGCACTTTGTGTCAGGATGGGAAGAAGAAAGTGAGGCCCTGTCCGGAAGGCAAGTACTTTGCAGGGAGCTGCCCAGTGCCTGCTGTTCCGGTTAGGGTTGTGTTGCCATGACCTTGCCATCCCATCCTGCCCTGCCCCCAGCCTGGGACTCTCATTAAACACCATGACCAGAACAACTTGTGGAGGGAAGGGTTTATTTGGCTGATGCTTCCACATCACTGTTCATCATCAGAGGAAGTCAGGGCAGGAACTCAAATAGGGCAGGAACCTGGAGGCAGGAGCTGATGCAGAGGAACTGGTGGAGAGGAGTTGCTTACTGGTTGGCTCCTGGTGGATTTCTCAGCCTTTTTTTTTTTTTTCCGAGACAGGGTTTCTCTGTAGCTTTGGTGCCTGTCCCGGAACTAGCTCTTGTAGACCAGGCTGGCCTCGAACTCCCAGAGATCCGCCTGCCTCTGCCTCCCGAGTGCTGGGATTAAAGGCGTGTGCCGCCACCACCCGGCTTCAGCCTTCTTTCTTACAGAACCCAGGACCAGCAGGCGAGGGGTGGGACCACCTACCATGGACTGGGGCCCTCCTCCATCAATCACTAATTAAGAAAATTCTTTCAAAGTCATTTTTCTCAACTGGGGCTCCCTCCTCTCAGATAATGCTACTCTGTGTCAAGTCGACTGAAAATTAGCCAGCATACCTGCCCACCCTGACCTTAGTGATGACACTGTTAGAGACGGGCCCTAAGATTGTACTGGCTGGAGGAGTTTTCCAGGACTCCAAGATTGTAGACCCATGTCTACTCAACTCTCTCAAGCTGCCCCTGCTCCTTTGCCCAGCACAGAGAGGACCCAGGCCCTATCACTTGAGTGTGATTTAGTAAGGGACAACGAAGGGTGTTTGGGTCACAGGGAAGGGCATAGACAAAGCTATGGTGTCCAGTGAGCCTGTGCTGCTTGGGAACTGGACCCGTGTGCAAGAAACTGATCCGGATGATGTGGGCATGGTCTCTGGGGACCAGGGACCAGGGTGTAGACACTCCTGCCAGCTCTGGAGAAAGAGTTCCTTCTTCCCTTGGGCCAGGTTGGCCCCAGGACACAGGATCTGGGTAGATGGTGTAACAACCCAGCTGAACTCCAAGTTCACACCTGCTCAGGGGCCTCTTGAAGAAGAGGCTGAATGTGGGACTCACTGGGGCCTGGGGCTGAGAAAGGGAGTTGGGAATTTTGTAGAGGGGAATATAGATAGAAGTTTCTGTGTCACCCAGTCCCACAGCCATTCAGTCCCAAATAAATACACAGAGGCTTATATTAATTATAAACTATTTGGCCTATTCGCTCAGGCTTATTATTAACTAGCTCTTACAAGTTAAATTAACCCATAATTCTTGTTTGTGTTTAGCCACATGACTTGGTACCTTTTCTCAGCGCAACATTCTCATCTTGTTTCCTCTGAGTCTGGCTGGTGGCTGCATCTCTGCCTTTCGTCTTCTGGCGCAGCTGCATTTCTGCTTTTCCTCTTCCCAGAATTCTCTTAGTCTGGTGGTCTATACTTCCTGCCTGGGTACTGGCATATTAAACCAATATGAGTGACAAATCTTTACAGTATACAAAAGCATTATCCAACAGCAGGAGGACAAAATTAGGAAACAGTGGGAAACAGAGGCGGGTGGATCTTTGTGAGTTCAAGGCCAGCCTGGTCTACAGAGTAAGTCCCAGGACAGCCAGTACTGTTACACAGAGAAACCCTGTTTCATGGGGGAGGGATGGAAAAGACTAGGAAACAGGTGCTTGCACAAGTGAGGGTATTGTTTAAATAGATTTTATTTTGGTATTTTATTTATATAATTTATAAATGATTGTGTTTGTATGTGTAGGGGTTGGCATTGTGTATGTGAGAGCAGGTACCTATGGAGGCCAGAGGAGGGCTGCTCTCCCTGGTTGCTCTCCTCAGGTCAGGCTGACTGGAGATGGGGACAGATCTTGGATCTCATCCTAGGTCTGCTGGGTGGACGAGGGATGGAAAAGAACTCCACTCGGTGGGTTCTGACTTCTAGCTCCCGCTGTCTTCCACCGAGCAATTTCAACAGAACTGTACCCCACTTCAGGGAAACTTTACTGACAATATTGCAATGATGGCTAGTGACCCAGGCTTCAACCCAGTCTCCTTGTGCCCTATGTGTAAGCAAAGCCCCAGGATGGGGGTTCTCTCTTCTACACTCCCTGCTCCAGCAGCAAGCTTGGATGCTGTGCCTAGAGGCTCCTCTTCAAGGGCAGAGCTCCGTGGATAAGAAACAGCACCAAAGCCAGATGGTGGCTGTGCCTGCCTCTAATCCCAGCACTGGCAGAGTTCAAGGCTAGCCTGCTCTACGAAGAGAATTCAGTTGGGGATGCACAGAGAGCACTGAGTGTCACTGTGGGAGTGAGTGGGAGAGATCCCAAGGCTGATGGGAAGGCAGGTGATGCAGAGGTCAGGCATGAGCTTCAGTCAATCAACTCAGCTGACTCAGTATCCCATTGAGAACTTTCTTAATCCTCCCATAGGCTTGTCTTCAGAGACCAAAGACCTCTCATTAGGTCCCACCTCTTAAAGGAGCCACCACCTCCCAACATCTCCACACTAAGCACCAGTTCTCCAGCTTGGGACAAACTGGGGCGATCAAAGGTGAGTGAGTGTGGGGAGGGTACTGGGGTGGAAGAAACACGAGGGAGCTTGGAGGGACAGGAGACCCAGTGTTACAGGTGGGGAGAGGCCACATTTCTCTTCATATGAGACAGCATCTCACAGTGTAGCCCTGGTTGGCCTGGGACTTACTATGTAGACCAGGCGGGCCTCGAACTCACAGAGATTTGCCTACCTCTGCCTCCTGAGTGCTGGGATTAAATGTGTGAAAACACACAGGTCTGTTTTCATTGAACAGTTTTCTGGTTCCACAGGCTTATTGTAGCTCGAGATGTGGTGTGGTCTTAGACTCTCCAGCAGGGGTCACTGAAGTGCTGCCAGGGTAAGAGAGAGGCTACCAAAGGCCCTTGGTGTTAGTGAAGCAGTCTTCCTTGTGGTTTAGCTCAGATTTGCTTCCAGGGGGAAATATACACACAGAAAGGCCGGGTCACCCACTAAGCTTGGGGATGGTCCAGGAAGGCGGGACATGGCTGGGGCCCGAGTCCAAAGTACAGGGGCCTTGGCCAAGGGCCCAGCCAGACCATCCCAGCCTTGGGATTTAGTGCCTTTGGCCTTGGATGTCCTTTGACTGAAAAGGGGGAGCCTCTCTGCATCAATCCCTAAGACAAGGACTCAGAGCTGATCCTGGGACCAGTTCCCACAGCCTGGCCCTGGGTGGGTCAATCTAGGCCAGCAGGAAGGAAGGGCAGGCTGCTGCAGCCTGGGGAGGAAGCAGAGAGCTCCCTGGCAGGGAGGACAGTGAACTCTAAGTGAAAAGATGCTAAGTGGAGGTCAGTGGCGGGGCAGCCAGGGTCTCCAAGGACAAGGAGGCCCAGGGCAACATCTGTTTCTATTCCCAGCCAGGAGTGGAGCCAGTGGGGCAGCCACCCTGTACAACTGGGGAGGCCTTTCCCACCTTCTGCTCCACCCCAACTCCCCCTCCTCAACCCCCTCATTCTTTCTACCCCTGTACCCAACCACCCCCTCCCCTCCCACTTTGCTGAACATAGCAAGGGAGCCACAGGGGGAAGGCGCTGCTCCAGGGCACATCATGGGACTGATGTGTCAGATGTCAGAGCTCTGTCTTTCGGTTCTCTGCTCAGAGAGGCTAGAGGCTAGCCGGAGGTCACACAGCAATGTGCTTGGACACAAGACCCAAGTTTCCCAACCGACAGCTGCTAACATCTCTGAATGTCTCTTCCTGTCTAAAGGCAAGGGACTAAGATATACCACATTAACTCGCTATGGCGGCGCGTATCTGTATCCTTGGGAGATGGAGGCAGGAGGATCAGAAGTTCCAGGGCTGGCAAGATGGCTCTGAGGGTAAAGGTGCTTGTGCCAAATCTGGCAACCTGAGTCCACTCCATGGGAGCCACACGGTGAACTCTCGAAAGGCTGCCTTCTGATCTCCACACCCATGCTACTGTGTCCTTCTCCAAAAAATAAATAAGTGTAATTTTAAAGAACATTCAAATGTCACCCTCAGCTACATGGGGAGTTCAAGCCCAGCCTGGGGCTGTGGGAGACCCTTTCTCAAAAAGAATAATTTTTAGAAGAAAAAAGAAAGTGACGCAGCTTTGATTAAAACTGGTCTTTTATCCATTCGTGGGTGTTGTTAGTGTATTTTTAATACAGGAAGGGCTCTCAGCGGCAAGCCAGCCTCGATCTGGCAAAACAATGGGTCCCTATGGCACCACCCAAGCACTCGGGGACAACCAGCCAGGGCTGTGGTCCCCGGCCTGCATCCTCTCTACCCTCCCCATGCTCCAGACCCTTGAAGTCTGGATCTCAGTTCTTCTCAGCCTGTCTCCCCCCACACACCCCCTAGCCAAGCCCAGCCCCCACTAAGCCTCCTGTGGCCTCTGACTTCAGCCCCACATCTCAAGTGACCTCCCGTGGTCACACTGCACAGTGGCTCTTAGTGCAGGAGTCGGTCCCCATCTGGTCCCCACTCTGCCTCTCGGCTGTGTCTTCTTTCCAGTTCTTCCCCTTTCTGACCCCCAGCCTCTGCGGCAGGATGGAGACATCGTGGCCACCTACCTGACACTGTCGCCGTGACTGTGAGACTATCACCCTCCCTTTGAGACCCAGCCTCATTCTGTAGCTCTTGTGATCCTCCTGCCTCCGCCTCACAGAGGCTGGGAGGACAGTTGTGTGCCACCATGCCTAGCTTTAAATGAGTGACTCTTCTTCGTACACCAGGTGTTGACCTGAGATAGGATGTTGACCCCGTGAGCAGAGTGGGGGCTGATCAAATGGAAGGCCATTGTCCAAACCCTCAGAATAAGGCCTTATGTTAATCAGAACTGTGGGTTGATATCCGAGTCCTCCCCTTGGTCTTAAAACCACAGAGGCACAGAGTGGGGGTTGGGGCCCTTTCCCTGGTGTCCTCAAGCCTGACACAGGTAGATATTCACAGGCTTGAATGAATGAATGAATGAATGGGTTCCACACCTCCTACGCCATATTTCTCTGTGCCGGCAGTCATTCCCACTGGAGTATGAGGTATGAGTCAGTACCGCTTTTGCCTGGGCTGATCAGCATGCTTGAAACTGTGTCTCCCTGGAGGACTGCTACCCTGAGTGATCGCTGTGTCCCTCTACCTTGAGTCCCCAAGCACAGCTCTCTATGTTTCCTCCTTTATCTGAGGTAGCTCCTCTTTGGTAGAGACAACCCCCCCCCCGCCTGGGGTTCCCTGGAGGAAGGCTCACCCCCAAGTCGGCAGGAAGGTTCACCACAGGCTGGAGACTTCACAGGGGGGCATCCTACCAGGCTGGGGTAAAGTCCAGATTGTCTGGGTCACACAAACTAGAAAGATCTCTGCAACTTGGGACTTGGAGCTGGGAAGGGGCTGGTCCTGACCTCACAGTGGGACCCAGGGCCCTGCTGGAAGCATCCAGTGGCTGTCATCCTGCGGCCACATCAAATCCCTGATCAAAAGGGGAACTGGCTCCCCAGGCAGATTTGTTCTGTTTGTTTTGGGGCCTTTTTACTTCCACACAAAGCACTGTTAGCCCAGCAGCTCCTCAAGCGCCTTGACCTCCCGTGGCTCTGTCCCCTGATGTCCCCTGAGCAGTTGCCCTTCTTGTCCCCAAGCCTCTGCAGGGTCCTTTTATTCCTCACCGTTGTGAAGACTTAACTGTGAGCTCAGAGACTCTGACTACCACTGTGGGACTGGTGGCTCAACTCAAGAGCATCTATTGAGCGCCTAATGTATGCCTGGCCCTTCAGTGTTATCTAGGGGACACGAATGTCAGTTTAGTCACACCTTAGGACTTCAGACTGTGGACCTGATTTTGGGGACCACCGATCCCTAAATCTGAGGGGCAGGAAGAGTCTTTGTGGTTGAGAGGATTAAGTTTACTCAGCAGCAGCAAGCACTTGCTGAATACAGGCCAGATGCTGGGTGCAGCTGGAGGAGGTTCAGACACGGTTTTGGTGAGCCCAGCTCTCAGGTGGGGTCCCCAGTGTGACAAATGGTCACATGTTGAGCAGCTTGTGGCAACCTGGTCCAGCTCCCTCACTGCATCAGGACTCAAGTCCAGATGTGGCAGCGGGTACAGAGGTCCCCAACCTCCTCTTTACTCCCCTTTAGTTTCCAAATGCTTGGTGGCTACACAGAGAGCTTATTAGAAAAATCAGCCGCCGCCTTCAGTCGCTTCGATTCAGGACTGTGGCCTGATGTGGAGGAGGGAGTCATATGGGCGGGTGGCTCACAGTGAGATCAAGGTTTGAATCAGGCCTGCGTGGGGGAAGTCGAGTGTTAGAGGTTGATGTGTTAGAGGGCAATGAGGTGTCATAGAAGAGTGACCGAATTTCCTCGCAGCCATATGACCATATAAGGAAATGGGAGGGGGCCAGACACAGTCATGGTTCCAAGTGACCCAGCGGAGCCATTTCAATGCAGTCCCAGACAAATGTCAAGGAAATGCCCGCTCCCCACCAGTTTACAAAGTGCTTTGGGGCCATTGTGAGAGCCAAGCTGAATGGCCTGGCTGGTGAAGTGCTACCCCGGCAGACACAAGGACCTGAGTTGGATTTCCAGGACTCATACAAAGAGGAGGGTGTGGCAGCGTGTGCCCGTAACCCCAGCTCTGAGGAAATCAAGACGAAAGGGTCCCTAGTGTTCACTGGCTGGCCAGCCCAGCCATCTTGGAGAATTCCTAGTCAGTGAGGAACGATCTAAAAAATAAAGTGAACAGTCAGTGTCTGAGGAATGTGAGTGAGGTTGTCCTCTGGCCTACAAACACATGCACACACACACGCGCACACACAGACACATACACACATACACAGACAGACACATGCACAGGTTCCATTTGGCACATGGCGTCTGCTTTATACTTAGGACAGTCCTCATTTGGAGCTGCCATATGGTGCATGCTTAGTGGTCCCATGCCTGTGTGTTGGATTAGATGGCACAAATGCAAATAAATGGGAAGGGGACCCCAGCAGCGCCTGTGTCAGGCACAGCAGGGTCAGCAGTATTCATCTACTGCTCAAGGACACAGTCTGATGTATCAGATCTGTGACTCCAGAGTGACCAAAGAGGCCAACAAGAAGAACAGGGAAAACCCACCCAGTGGAGCTGGCTGTCTAGTTCAGAAGACACAGGGTCAGCCCACCAGTCAGTGTAGATGCGCCCAGTGGTGGTGGCACAGGAGAGACCCTATCAGGAGCCACAGTGGAAATGCGGGTCCTGCCAGAGGGGCCTATGGGACCAGAGGAAATGCTGTGTGTGATAGGGGCATACTGGGAGGAAAAGCCTTCCCGGTGGGGAACTAGGAAACCTGGTACAGTTAAGACAGAGGGAGGTCAGGAGGGTGTCCAAGAGCATCATCCCAGTTTAGGCAAAAGCCAGGCCACCCACGGAGAGACCCAGGAACTAGGCCAAGTGCCTGCTGTCCAAGAATGTAGTATAGGCACATGTGGAGAAGGGAAATGGGGGCTGGGAGCTGCTTTTAGGGCCCCAGGTCCCAGGTGCTTATGGTGGTGGGTGGGAGGATGGACCCACCTTCATGGGCACCCATTCTGCCAGTGCCAGCCTGCCTCACAGGCTGTGCCCCAGAGTCCTTTCATAGGTGGCAGAACTGAGGCTTGTACCCCTATCTCCCTGGAAGTGCCACTGGGACTGCATAGAGGGCTGACCCCACCTTCTTCAGGACAGTCCCTCAGGTGGTCCTCTGGGCTTGGATCACACCTTCACCCCATAGTGTTACCTGATGTCAGAGCAAGCACGGAACCTTCTTCTACCTCTATGTCCTCCTCTGAGAAATGGGCATCCAAACTGCACCCACTTCTGCATACACAGACAGGCATGTTGGTGATGGGCTAGGGCTGAGTGGTTCCCTGCATCGGGACCCTCAGCGCAGACGGACGAAGATGCTTTAATGGGAAGCCAGTCCCATTCTGTCCCAGGGTCACACCAGAGCAGGAACCCAGAGATAAGAACCCCTAATCTGCCTCCCCATACTAGAGTCACAGGCTCCTGGGGTCACCTGTCCCCTCCTTGCAGTACCCCCAAAACCAGTTTCTGGAGTAGACAGTCACCAGCCATGCTGAGAGCAGCCACAGCCAGCAGCCCAGCCCAGCGCAGCCCAGCCCAGCCCGAGGCAGCAACAGCGTGCTGGTTAGAGAGGAGTGGCAGGCCCCTCCCGGCCACGTCTCTGCCGGTGCCCCCTCCTCCCTCTGCCCAGCCATTCGTGCTGAGCTGTCCAACTTGCAGCCACCCTCATCACCGGAGTTACAGGGTGGGCTAAAAATAACCCGAGGACCAGCCATCGCCCAGGGCGCAGGTGCTGGGTGAGGACACAGGATCCCAGGGACCCTGTGCCGAGGACCAAGCCTGAAGCAGGCAAAGTCCTTTGGTCCCGCTCTCAGGCCCCACCCAGGCCAGCGTCCCTCCTCCCCGTTAACCCCTTTTACCTCCTCTCCCGGGCCTGCGGAGGTCACTCGTGCTGAAGAAAACCCTGCCACTAGCCTCAGGATGGGCTGCTGGGGCCGGAAGGCCCTTTGGGCTCTGGGCTTCCTGCTGCTACTGGGCACCAGCTCTGCGCAGGACACCTGGGAGGCATTGCTGCCCTCCAGGCTGGTGGAGAAGTCTCGTGTAAGTGCCGGGATGTGGGAGGAGGGATGGGGACCTCGGTGGGTGGGAGGTGATCCAAGGGGCACAGGTCCTCAGATGCTGTGGTTTCTCAGCAGGGTGGGAGTCTTCAGTCTGAGCTGTAGTAGATCGTGGGCAGAGGGGACTCAGTGCCCTCCCGAGGACACTCTCCTGCCAGCAGTGAGGAAGAGACATGTCTGCCCCACAGGGAGACTTGGCTTTTTGAAACTTAACTGAAGCATCCTCCTTCCTGGAAAGCAGAGTCTAGTAAGAGTCTGAGGACAAACTGAGCATTTAGTGTCCCCCTCACCCCAACACACCCACCCACCCCCAGTGCCTGAAGACTGACTGTGGTGTCTTGCTCAAGCAAGGAACCGCTTAGTGGAAAGTATGCCAGCCAAGCTCGAGATGGCAACCTGTTGGTACAAGATGAAGAGGTGACCTGGGGACAAATGACGGCAATCCTTAGGAAGGTTCTGAGAAGAAAGCCAATGAGAAGCAGGTACAGCGGGACCCTATGGCTGGGTCTAAGGCAGGGCTTGTCTTTGGCTGTGTGACTTCAGGCAAGTTGTTTGATCTCTCTGGACCCCAGTGATCTCCTCTGCAAAAGACAGAGTGATGTGTTCCTCTCGGCAAATAGGAGATTTTGTTGTTATTGTTGTTGCGTGTGACATGCATGCATGTGTGCTTACAGGTGTGCACAACACATGTGTGTGCACAGACGTGTGTGCAAGTGCCTGTGGAGGCTGGCAGTTGGTGTCAGTTGCTTGACTTTGATCACTCCATTTAGTTTACTAAGGCAAGGTCTCTCCCTGAACCCAGCCAGGTGGGCTAGTCTAGCAGGCCACCTTGGCCTGGCCATCCTGCCTGCCTCCCGAGCCCTTGGGTTACAAGTGTCCGCCACTCCCACTAGCTTTTACAGGCGTTCTGGAGATTCCAACTCCGGCCCCACGCTTGCATGGAGGGTGCAGTATCCACGGAGGCTCCTCCCTAACTCTGGTGCTGGTGTTTTGAGGGCCACTGTTTGGCAGGCACTGTCATGGGTGTGGGACTTGTCCGCCAGCGCCTGCCTGGGGTGTCTGCGCAGCAGGGTGGGCATCAATGGGAGGAAGGAAGCCCTGGGGTGTGTGAGCTTTTGAGCATCGAGGAGACAGATAAGAGGAAAGGGCTGGGGTGGGTGTAAGGTGGGCACCCTCCAAAGGAGCACAGGTCGAGGGGACAGTGTACCTGTGGTGACACTTCACACACCTGGGCAGATGTGTGGCTTGGTGTGGAGAAAGCGCCCAGGACTCAGAATGGCTGGTGCGTCTCATGGGCTTTAAACCAAAGGATGGTGAAGTACCAACGCTTGCCTCCTGGGACGGATACAGGCTCCGGGGGCTGGGGCTGCTGGACTCCTTTCCCGGTTCCTGCCTTCAAGCTGGCACCTGGAACATTCTTGTGCATGCCATGAAATAAGTGCTACGGGGGCAGAAAGGGAGCTCGTTCAGCCCTGCCCAGGAGCAACAGGAAGGGCCTTCTAGGGTTGGAGACATTTGACGAGGGACTTTGAAGGGGAAATATGAGTTTGCCCGGTCAAGAAGCATGGGGCTGGGATACTCATGCCTACTGAGCTGGATGTTTTTGATACGACTCAGGAAAGTCACAGGAGGGGAGTCAGAGAGTGAAGGAATTGGAGATGAAGTTCATATGAGACACCTAACCTCCAAAGGCTTCTTGGAAGAGGCGGCTCTCCTGAAGGGAGTTTGAGGAATGATTAAGAATTAGGAGGGAAGCCGGGTGGTGGTGGCACACGTCTTTAATCCCAGTACTCAGGAGGAAGGTGGTTCTCTGAGTTCAAGGCCAGCCTGATCTGTAAGGAGATTTCCAGGACCACACAGAGAAACCCTGTCTCAAAAAAAAAAAAAAAAAAAAAAAAAAAAAAAAAAAAAAGTTAGGAGGAAGGGGGGAATTCCTGGAAAGCTCAACACGACCTGAAGCTTAGAGGCCAGAGGCCATCGAGAGGGGGTTGGACTGGGAGGAGGGCCCGAGGGAGGGGCGAGCTGCAAGGAAAGATGCTTTTCCACCTTTTCCACCTTTCCCAGGCCCAGCTCTTTGTATCTTGTGCTCCCCTTGGACACAATCCCTGGGCTTTGCACTATCCACAGACATGGGCCCCTCCCTGCTGCCCAGACAGGCATAGGGGACAGAGCAAAAGAAAGTGGGGGGAGAGAACACACCCTGGGGAAGGCCAGGCTGTGACTCAGAGGCTAGGCTTAGAAGTCCTTTTGCACAGACCCATCGAGGAGCTGTGCTGGCTTGGGCCACTCGCTGCCCCTCTCTGGGTCTCAGGCCATCCTTTAACCTGAGAGTGACCAGGAGAGATGCAGTCCACATGTGCTTAGAGGCAAGATGCACCCTTAGCCTTGCTCCCCTCCTGCTGCTCCGTGCTGATTCCTTGATGACGGTGGGCTGGTCAGACCTAGGGACTCCAGCTGCAGGCATCTGGAGCAGACTTAGCCTAAGGGCAGCTACTTTTATTGAGAACAGAGTCACAGTTAAATGTTAGCTCCAGTATATCTACAACAGAGAATTCATTACTGTCTGGTCTAGAACGTTCTCTAAAGGCTCGTGTGTTGAAGGTCTGGTCCCTAACGCAGTAGTGGAGACAGAAGGGGCCTGTGGGAGGTGATTGATAGGTCAGAGCCCTGAGGACTGGATGGGTTAGTGGATCAGTCCCCTAATGGGCATATACCTGGATGGAGAGTCAGGATGTAGGATGTCCTGAGAACTTGAGAGGGTGGGGCCTGGTGGAGGAAGCAGCTCCCTGGGGACATGAATTTGAAGGTTTAACCTGTCCCTGCCTTTCCTCTCAGCTGTCTGTCTCCCCACTTCCTGGCTCTCCACTCCGTTTTTGCTGCGGTCTGCTTCTCGGGCAAACAACGAGACAGCGTTCAGAGCGAGACCTCAGAAACCCTGAGCCCAAGCGAACCTTTCCTGCCTTCCTTCCTGTTGACTTGCTCAGGTGTTTTGTTATAGTACCGGAGTGCCCATCACTCGCTCACAGTTGGGAGGGAGCAGCTCATCCGATACAAGCCCTGGAAGGGCGTGGCTGTTTTGTCTTTCTCGCTGGCTCTGAGACTTACGCATCTGTGGACTTGTGGGGGACAACGAGGTTATACTGTTTATTTCTCCTCTCACACTAGGGTGAACAGCCCAGGCCATGGAGGTGAGATGGTCATTAAACCTGCCTGTCATGTCTACCTACGTTCCCCTCCCTGGTTCATCCCACTTCTAAGCATGTTGTTCGGTGGCGTGGCTTGTATCTGGAGGCTGATTTTTTTTCTAGAGCAAGGCTGTTCATTTCCTGAGTGACTCCCAGTAGGAGACAGACAGGAACACTAACCCTGTCTTCTCACGTGAAGCCCTAAAGAAAACCTAGGGATTCTGAGTAAAGGTGGCTCACACCTTTAATCCTGGAACTCAGGAAGCAGAGGCAGACGGATTTCTGAGTTTGAGGTCTGCCTGGTCTACAGAGCAAGTTCCCTAGGACTGTCATCTATGGGAGCTCTAGTTTCCGTGTCTGCAGTGGGGAAATCAGCAACAGGTGCCTGTGGGTTAAGAGAAGGCCAGAGTTGGGGCTAGAGAGATGGCTCAAAGGTTAAGAGCACCGGCTGCTCTTCCAGAGGATCTGGGTTCAAGTCATACATGGGTTACAGACATACATGTAGGTAAAACACCCACACACATATAAAAATAAAAACTAAAAAGACCAGGCCTTTGTCTGTGCTTGGTGCCACTTTGCGTGTGTGTACACACACACTCATTCCTATGTCTGGGTGTGTATTCATTTGAGTGTATATGCAGGGATGTATGTGTAGATATTATGGGTGAAAGCTTGCATACATGTGTAAACATATATATGCACATATGCAATGTATGTATGTTTACACATGTACTGTGTTGTCTCTGTATGTGTGAAACCTATGACGGTACTTTGGGCCCATGACAGCTGGGACCGTAGTCAGGGACCATCTTTGTCCCCTTCCCCAGAGACTGTCCCACTCCGTGCTTGCTTTCAGGGTGTCTTGCCTGCACTCTTTGCTCTGTTGCTCTTATCAGTGAGATTTGTTTATCTTTTCACTAGCTGCTTTTGCAGAAGACAAAGGAAGCAGAGGGGTTGCTCCTAGGGTGGGTCTGGCTTGTTTAGTATCAGGGGAGAAAGTCCATCCAAGCTGGAACTGGGCCAAGTGAAGATGGGCAGTGTCTCGAGGTCCAGCCCAGAATTCCTCAGAGCCAGCTGAGAGCCCCTAGCATATAGGCTCAGGCAGAGGGTGTTCGTGTCACCCAGAGCATGAAGAAAGGCATGGAAAGTTCTAGAGGGGCATCATGTGTGCAACTGACAGCAACTCCGCTCCAGCTGAAATCTTCGGAGCGCCCTGCTGGGAAGAGCACCACGGCCTGCTGTGGAGGCCCAGGGCATCCTCACTCTGAGCCCCAGCACACAGGCCAGGAAGATGCTTATTTTTAGATCTCTGACGTCCGAATTCCAGAGGAAGGGCAAGTGGGGCTCCAAGGAAAGTTGGCTTTCTTCCTCCACCATGCAAACCAGACCTGGAAGACATTTTTATCGGTCTAGCTATGAAGTCTTTAGAACATTCCAAAGAAGGGCAAAGCTCTCTTATGGAATGAAGGGGTGGAGAGTGTAGGGGAGGAGTGGGGTGAGCGCAAATTTGCAGGTGGGGTGCCAGCTCCCTAGATGGAGGTCACTTCACAGTTCTCTCTAATGGGGCAGTACTGATATTTACCCTCCAAACAGCCCAGAACTGGAGGGTTGAGGACAGTCTGCATACCATCCACCTCCACATATCACTTATCTGTGTGGACCTCTGCTTTCTCATGAGCCCCGTCCACAACATGCATTTCTTTTTATTCATGTTGTTTAAAAATGTTTAAGTTGAGTTGTACCTTGCATGACATAAGACATTT